AAGAAAACAAGATTATGCAAGAATATTATATTACGCAACCATTTCATCCCCAAAAGTTTCATAAAACAAGCTCCTCAATAAACGTTTTTCACGAACCAACCTGCATACATTTAATAAAATAAGCTTCTCAAACAACGTTTTCATGAACAAATCTAACATGAATATGTTTCACAGCTGATTATATTTTTACCGGTTCTTGAATCTTTATTTGGATCTGTTACTGATTTCGTGGATTAATGAATATAATAATTTTCGATTTTCATATTATTACCACTAATAAACCGAGAAAATAACAATATTCAATTTTTAAAATTCTAATTTAAATAAACATTTAAATATTACAATTTATAAAATTTCCTTTATTATGTTACCTTAATTAAGATTTATTAATAACTTCCATATTTAATAGAAAACAATGTAAATGACAAATCTATCCTTAATGATTAAATTTAATTAAGAAAAAAAAAGTATTTTCCTATTGGTCGAAATTAATTTACACGGATTCTAAGAATTAGAAGTTTTTCATTTGATCTCGCCTCTCTCTCTCTCTCTCTCTCTCTATATATATATATATATATATATGTGAGCCTAATCAAATGAGAACTAATTAGTTTGTGATAACCGTGAGGTCCAATCTCAACCACAAATCAATAGATAAATTAGGAAATTTATAATTTTGGTAATTTTGAATTAAAATTTTAATGCAAGGACATTTTAGGTATTTTAAAACTCTCATCTCTCCTCTCTCCGTCCCTCGTCCTCCGGCCACCGTCCTCCAGTGATACCACAGTGGTATCACAATGCATCATATATGTGCTTGGGCTGAGGTTGTTTGTGTGGTCGATCGGAGATGTAACACAATATATCACAATGCATCTTATATGTGCTTGGGTATCACAATGTGTCTTTTTTATTTCTGGATTGAACACCTGGTGGCTTTATCACGTTTTTTGCCTTCTCTTTCTCTAGTTGGTGTTATTCACACGACTTTCTTATCTCCTTTTTTTAGATCATGATCGTTCATACTATCCATATCTTTGTTGATCTATAATGTAGGATTTGAATGTTGTTAGTAAGGAAACTTGTACATGATCGAGTTATTCGAACAACGATTCCGAGGGCTTTTCTGAAGATTGTTTTTTTGAAGACAATATTTTTTAAAACAGTTCTAATAATGATGATGAAGGTACAATAATAGTGTGATAACATTATGATTATATAGTTTTTTTCGTGATTCAGAAGTAGTTTAAGTTGAGATTTGCTAGCAATTAACTTTCTTTGGATCAAATCATATATATATATATCAATCGCATTTATCACGTCGTTATCACATAAATGAATTTTCTTGTTTGATTTTTGCAAGATAAACGATAGGTTCCATCAACTGACTAATATGTAATTGCAAACAATTTTTAATCCATGGAGTACTTCTATGACACCTCCTTCATTACTTGAAAACCCCAAGACAAATCTAAACAAGTTTATCTCATGACCATCATACACAGAACATTAGCTATTGAAATTGACTCTAATAAACTACTTAATGATATCACTATTATAATCATTGATTTGGTGTTAGAAATTGATGTTTATCACATGTGATAGACATCCCAATTTGGTTGAAGGATCGATAACAGTTTGATGTGTAAAAAGATGTCATCAATTTTCAAGTTTGAATGATATAGGCTTTTTATGACATGTGATAAAAGGTATATGGAATTGTAAATGTCAACATTTTTTTGTCCATTTATAGTTATTGGTATATGTTGATTTGAGTTTAATGTTATTGTAGTTTTGTAATTGAGCATTTTTATGTTTATCACATGTGATAAACATCTCATAGTTGCAATTGTATGTTACTGTAATGCTTCTTTTTTTTTTATTAGCCTGGATATCCAACCCGCTATGGAAGCCGACTAATCCCAAGGCGACCACATGCTTTGCAGATAGCCCGAAGTCATCGCATTTGAACCTCCGTGGCCACAAGGGGATTTTTATTCCTCCTTGGATTTGAACCTGGGACCTCCAGGTACTTTTGATCTTTGGAGCCAAGCTCAAACCAATCAGACACCACCCTTGTGGTTACTGTAATGCTTCTTGATGAGGTTAATTTTGTTTTCAATTTAATTTAATAGTAATTTTGTTTAGTTTTATTATGACATATGAGACTTTGTTAACTTGGTTTTTATGTATATTGATTTTTTTATTTATAACATATGGGTAATTATTTCACATATCATTTCGTGTTACCAGCTCAATGATTGATTGAAACTCCTTGCGGTGATGGAGGTCGTATTCCATCTTTTCCAAGTGAATTTCAACCGGTTGTTGGTGCATATCGATCCAAACAATTATCAGTGATCCTAATATTATCTATAACAGGAAATGTGATAAAGGTGTGATAAATGTGATAACGGTGTGATAAATTTAATTCAAACTTTATCTATTTAAAGGGATATAAAAATATTTGTAGCATATATTGGCAGAAAATAATCAAAAAAGAAAGCAAATTCCAGTCTTTAATTCTTGTTTTAATAATTACATGAAGACAAAGAAAGAAAGAGTTTCTACGTAAATTCTTTAAACCCTTAATGGATTAATGTCTTTGTTTTCATACATGTACTTTGTCAATTCCATTTACTATTTATCTTGTATCAGAGGTTCCATGTTTATGATATTGACTCTCATTTTCATGGACTATAAGAAAAGATATATAATATGATTTTATATTCTAATAACTTCCTTAAGACTTCAAAACTCTTATAGCTTGTCACTATTTTGATTCAAAGTATATTACTGAATTTACTAGCATTGTATAAAATATTAAGTTATTTGTCAGTATAATTGGGTGAGTTAAAGCAGAGATGAATATCTAGTTGTCAAGTTCATTGTTCCAGAGTGAGCAAAGACTTGAGATATTGTCATTGTTCCATCTGAAAGTTAATTGCAAACCACCTGTTTTTCAGCTCAACCCATTGATTAATCCCTCGCTTCGTTCATAGTTTCATCATTGTTTGTATCACTACTGCTCACCAACGTGCACCATCAACCAAGGAAATTCATTTATGTGATAACGGTGTGATAACTGTGATTGATATATATGATTTGCTAGTAATCAACCAAGTTAATTGCTAGCAAATCTCAACTCAAACTATTCTGATCACTTAAAGTGGTGTAGCTAGTGATGAAGAGTGGAGTTCATATGAAAGGAAAATGCAAATGCAAATGTAGAATTTTGCAGTCCAATAGACATATGATTGATGCTAGTAAATAACGTAAATCAGCAAGTGAAAAATGACAGCTATATTGTAATCAAGCTGGTCAATTTCACCTTCAATTTCTAACACCAAATAATAGTGATATCATTTTGATTATCACACTCATATCACACCAAATTAAGTAGTCAATTCCCTAAGTTAACCCTAGCCAAACGAAATTCTTGTTGATAATTGTGTGATTGTTTAACCCTAACCGATAGAAACCATGATGAAATCGAGTGCGACTATGAGCAAGTGATGTTATAATACTGATATCACATGATTATCACACTCATATCACACCAAATATTGTAGTCGATTATCACAATATGAGGTTAATAGAGTGTTCTTTTATATATATATATATATATATATATATCGATGATAGTGGCCAACAACATGTTTGGCGACATAACAAACAGACAACGATGGGGCAACAAGGAGTGACGAGGGGGAGCGATACTATACCGTTGCTTGCGAGGGGTTTTAATGGTGTAGGGTTTGGGAAGGGTAAAAACCGATTTATGTTTCTTTTTTACTTTAAAACCTTCTAATCAGTTATAGATAACTTTAAAAAAAGATGTAGATAATCAATTTTTAGAAGTTTGATGGTTTATTATTCAAAAGAAATGTTTAGGGACTTAATAATTTAAAATGAGAAATTTTAATGTATTTATTCAAAAGAAATGTTTAGGGACTTAATCATTCAAAATGAGAAATTTTAATGGTTTATTTTTGTTTAGGGACTTAATCATTCAAAATGAGAAATTTTAATGGTTTATTTATTCAAAAGAAATGTTTAGGGACTTAATCATTCAAAATGAGAAATTTTAATGTTATTTTCAATCAAAAAAATTGTTTAGGGACCTAATCATTCAAAATGGAATAGTTCGTTGGGTTTTTTCTGAACTCTTCCCTTAAATATCTACACTATATTATAAAACATTTGACAGAGACTCTTAAAAACCATTTTTTATGTATGAAGTACTGTTTAAATATGTATATTACTTAAAATTCAAGATTACAAGTAATTTTACGTAAGTACAACTTATATTAAAGCTCAATCTAAAATACGTCTAATATATTAACTGCAAATAAACATAATCAAATACATGAGAAATATCTATTTTAAATATAAAAATATAAAATATAATTAAGATAATCATTGAGTTCTAACAAAATGTTTAATTATTATCTATATAATAATTGTATCATTAAACCAAAAACAAATTACTTTGTTATTAAATTTAAATTAAATTATAATAAAAAATTGAATTAAAGAAGTTACCTAAAAAAAGGAGAACTATTAAATAGTTAATTTGGTACTAATATCGATTTATTTTTTTCAAAACTTTATACCATCTTCAAATTTATATTTCATTTGACAAAAAAAAAACTTTTAAAATCGTATTATCTCGATAGAGACAGAATAAAAACTAAACATTGAAATGAAAATTTATCTCGTTGCATTGCATGAGTACCCTTCTAGTATCATAAAATGTTAAAATTAACTAAATCTTTAACAAGTCATTTTTGATCATTTTGCGATTCTCAAGTAGTTTATCAGTTAGTTTTTTTTGCTAACATGATTAGATCATCAACTAACAACTAGTTTACAAACACATCGACTACTTTTATCAGATAACAACTATCTTATTAGAAGTTTATTTTGGAAACATAACAAAATATGTTCATTTTGATGGAATTTGTCTTAGAAAATATTATAACGGAATTAGGTTTTCATTAAGCGTTTTGAGCTTCTAAAAATGAATTGAAGTCGTCTCGAGCCTTGCGCATGCGGGGTGTGATGCACGGAGACGGTGATGTGGTTGGCGAAGATGTCGAAAACCGTACGTGACGACTACGACAATCGTTTGATTTCCTTTCTTTTGTCGACTTCAAAACTCCTTTCACATCCTTGTCGAACACAAAGGCTGAACTCACCGGCAAACTAGCATCGTTCCCACTGCTTTGTATCAGTTCCAATGGCAAATCGAAGTAGCGGTTCGATGAACGACCACTCCCGCCACCATCAACATTTAGAATCCCTGATGACCTCCAAGATCCACATTCGAATTTCTCGAGAGACACCCGTTGAGAGATCACGTGCCCGATTTCTTCTCGTCCCTCTCGTCTGCTTCTCACGGGCTTACCCTTGCCGAACCCTGGCAAGAACAAGCAAAGAGCTCCACATTTGAAATCATCCTCGTTACGTGTCTTCGTTTCGGTGATTCTTTTGTACTGATCACCATTTGACGTGGTTTGACCTCTAGGCGTGCTACCGGCACTAACACTGTTAGTGTTAATTATGCTCGTAGTAGTACGGCAGATGTCAAACTCATCATAGGCTCCGGACGGTCTCCCTTCGCCACAAGACTTGCTTCGTTGCAAGTGGTTCTCGCGAAGCCAAAGAAAACGAGAGAGAGCCACGGAGTGTTGATGGGGTAGGGAAGTTTCGAGTTCTTGATCGTGATCTTTGACGCCTTTCGTCTTTGGCACAACCCCACGAGGAGACGAACAAGCTGAATTTGGGAGGCTGGTGCTAAGAAACTTGTTCTTTTTTGGTATCGAATTCAATGGCTTATTGGCGGGCCAAGGTTTCTGTAACCCTAAAGTTGGATATTCGACGATTTCTTTCATGGAAATTGGATCAACTGAAATCTGTCTCTCTTTCTGTAGGGTATGGTTGGTCATCTCATTCGACATAACGTCAAAATTAACAGTATATCCTTAGAAAGATTTGGGTAAACAAGGATGAATTAGGGATGTATATATACAGAATTAGTGGATAGATGGAGTTGAAGAAGTGAGAATGTGGATGGCATGATCTTAATTAAGTAGTGATCACCATGTTTTAATTCATATAAAATAAACAAATGAGTCAATAGATATTACTTGTATGCACAACTTAAAGTGATGAATGACTCCATTGTAGTTTATCTATTTATTTCTGCA